TATTTTTAAATAATTACAAGTGATCATTAATTCGTCGTAGTTTCCATCGTTAGCTCAAATATTTACGCCCTTCGTCACAAATAGAATGAAACGAATTTTAGGTAACCTTATCGCGGCTTTGATATGAAAATCAATCAGCAATATAAACATACGGCCCTCGCAAATCAATGAACTGCCCTTCGGTCTTCGGGACTTTGATCAGGAGCAGAAGTGACAGCCAGTTAGTTACGGCGGTTTGACTTTGATTCTCTTGGGGATTCCATAAAACTCAAGCCATATTCCCACAGAGAATCGGAGAGACTCTCACAACACTTGGTCGGAGAACTAGACACGTCTTCGATTCCCTGCTAATGGAAAAGTTTTTGACACGCGGAGAATGTTAGTTCGCTCACTCATTATCAACTCCATTATTTATTTAATATATAGCATTAATTGTACAGAGTGTCCAGGGTGTGTAATATTTTTTCTTCGATACATAGGTACTTCACACATTCGCAAAACCAAATGACTTGTACTCCTTAAATGCTCAGGAGTTATATTAGTCACAGCATGCTGTTACCTTTCAATCAATTCTACTTCAAGATGTACAGGAGTCGCTTAAAGAATGGAGTGGTGTAATCCAAAGCAAAACAGGCGTGAGGTCTGGTGATCGCGGAGGTCAGTTTATGTTTGCACCACGACATATTCACAGTTCTAGATGGTCTCGTTTCGACACTTAACTGAAGCCAGGCTTTTCGCCTATCGCGAACTGAGCTGTTTTCAAACATTTAATGATGTTTTATTCTAAAAACGAACTCCCATTCATTATAGGTGGCAACAGGTATCGTCCTAAAACGGTATCGTTAAAGAATTCCAACCAAATATATTAACCGAAAATTCATATTAAAATTTTCTTGACGAAAGTCAAATTTGGTGCTGGTTTTCGTTTCACTTTAAATGGAGGTTGTTTCAGAAAGTCATGTTTAAATCCCGAAATGTTTCTGTTGTCTATTGTTTGTCTGTTGCTTCAGAAAATCATATTTAAATCCCGAAATGTTTGTGTTGTCTATTGTTTGTCTGTTGCTTCAGAAAGTCATATTTAAATCCCGAAATGTTTCTGCTGTCTATTGTTTGTCTGTTGTTTCAGAAAGATATATATTTAAATCCTGAAATGTTTCTGTTGTCTATTGTTTCTCTGCTGTTTCAGAAAGACATATATTTAAATCCCGAAATGTTTCTGTTGTCTATTGTCTGTCTGTTGTTTCAGAAAGTCATATTTAAGTCCCAAAATGTTTCTTTTGTCTGTTGTTTCTGCCTTTAAAGATTGAGAGAAGAGATAAAGAAATTTCAAAATCAGACACTTATTATTGTGGCTGATTATGCCAAAATTTCATGTTTTCCGTCCCGTTTTTGCTCATTTTTCGGAAGCAAAATAAGCAGGAACGTTCATTTTTACATCATTCCAGAGAGAACTAAATTACATTTTTAGAAAGTGAACCATCGTTAGTGAAATGCCGGGAGTTCTCTCAAAAAAGTCTTGATTTCAAAAAGTTTTAGATTTACTTGCAAAATCGACTCAAGCATAACTCTGATTTTCTTAGCAGTTTCTCTAGCCCCATTTGAGCCGCAATTTTTTTTTGCATTGTGGGATAGAGAATTGGAAACTCAATTCAGTCATAACAACACGGGTGAGGAGATTCGAGTAGTTCTTACCCAGAAAGCGAAATTTTAATATGATACCCTTACGTGCAAGATTATGCCAAAATTTTATGTTTTCGGCCCCGTTTTAATTTTTTTTATTTATCGGAAGCAAAACGAGCCAGAATACTGATTTTTTACATAAGTCCAGAGAGAACTAAATGGCATTTTTAGAAAGTTCGATAATCGATAAGGAAATGTTGGCAATTTTCTGAAAAAAGTTTTAGATTTACGTGTTTTTTCTTTGAGTTACAAAATCGACTCAAACATGACGCTGCTTTTTTCGAAGTTTCTCAAGAACCATTTGAGCCACAGAATTCGTTTTGGCATCGTTCGATACAGAATTGAAAATTTGATTCAGTCGTAACAACGTGAGTGAGGAAATTCGAATAGTTTTGACCCAGAAAGCGAAATTTGAATATCAGACACTTAGGCACAAGATTATGCCAAAATTTCATGTTTTCCGTCCCGTTTTTGCTCACTTCTCGGAGGCAAAATAAGCAAGAACGCTCATTTGTACATCATTCTAGACATAAATAAATGGCATTTTTAGAAAGTTGACCATGGATAAGAAAATCTTGGCAGTTTTCTCAAAAAATGCTTGAATTCAAGAAGTTTTAGATTTGTGTGGTTTTTTTTGAGTTGCAATTGAGTTGAGTTTTTAGTTTGATAAATTTACTTTTCAAATTTAGGAAGCTTTGTGCATTAAACCAAATCTTTCTTCATTGAAACACACCAAAGCCAGTGAGCTTTAAATTTGATTCAATAAGCCCTAAATATTTATTCATTTTCTAGCTGTATTGAAATAATAAAAGTATTTGGAAAAAATGTTTTGTCAAAATATTATCCAAATAATAAATTTCCAAAAGACGTGTTAAGTTTACCACGCAACATTAGAATCGTGATACTGAAATAATAACAATTTGCAATAAAATTTAACATACATTTTACAATATATTTTAATTTAAAAAGCTGTAAATGTTAAATTGTTTCAAACTAAGGACGACAACTTGTCCAATAATGCACAACGATGCTTTAAAATGCTCGAAATGACGGCCATCCATACTAAGGTTTTTCCATAAGCTTCAAAGAAAACACTTTATATTTCATATCCTCATTCATTTTAATAAACAATGGTTTTAAAAAATGCGAGATTAATAGAAGTACTGTTTCTAAAACTACTTAACACCTATGAGGTTTCATTTAGCTTTTTGCACAAAACTTGAAACATAAAGCGCTCTCTACAAACTATTGCATGAATTAAATCACTAGCAGGCTCAGTTTTTTAATTTACACAGTTACATAATTTCCGAAATCGAGTTTAATATTGGCAGAATTTGGTAAAACGTAAGAAAGCTACAATGCTTTCAAAAGTTTGGAACTAATTCTCGGGAACTAAGTTTGAATTTTCAACAACTTTTTCACACCACTTTCACATTGCCCAAAACCTTTTACTTCTTGATATACGAGCATATTTGGCACAGGAAATATAAAAAACCATTATTAGAAAACAACACTTTACTCGTCAAATACTTAGTCTAAAGATATCAATATGAAAATGTATTAATTAATATATATCAGTACGAAATTTCATCAAATTATTAAAATTTAATGATCATTTCGTACCTTTTTAATCCTAAACCTTATAGGCAATTTGCCGTCGTTATTCACAAAATTTCTTGCGGTTGTAAATGACATGACAACGCATTTCTCTAGCTCAAAAATATCTTCAATGTTAGTGGTGTCATTATAGCATAATTCAGACACCTTAAATTTCCTGATAGGTCCACCATATACCTCGAATTCATAATAAAAGCTGTCAGCTTTACACTTGAGACCGATAAACTGGAAAGCCCAATACAGCTTCTCCTTTCGGGCATCAACAAAATGCTTGTAGTAAAAGTAAGCCTGACCATTGAAGAAAGATACGACATCAACGTCCCTAAAGTTTAATCTAAAGTTGATATCCACACAAACCTCAGTTTTGAATTCCATCGACTCATTATTCTTATGAGCTGTCTGAAACGTCAAAAAAATTAAATCACCTAGAATCCTCAAATAGAACAAACATAATAAAATATCGTCCTAAAATATAAGGATTAGGACGGAGGACTTATCGAAGTCAAAAAGTGATGATTTTAAAGGTGCAAAGTGTAAAAAGTTTAATTTGATTCCAGTTTTACCAAAACACGTTTTAATAATTATGGGTACGTTGTTACACTAATCCGCAATGGAGTTTTTCAGTTAAAAATGGAATATGTGTAAAAAATTAACAGAATAGATAATGTTACAAACATTTAAAACAAGATTATTTATTTTGAGACACTGCATTTTAGAATCAAATAAAATTGCTTATTCTCCAATCTTTACCTTAAAATGGTTTTGTATATCGGAATAACTTCCAACCCAATCACATTTCCAACCAGCAAATACATTTCCTTCACATTGGAAAGGCCGAAATCTGCAGTCTTTCGTGATTGTCTTTGTGAGCAGCTTTAAAACTGAACGTACAGCCTCTGGTCGCATATTCACATTTTACCGGTGTCTGGGAACTGAAAAACACATCATTTCCATTACACATTTTAAATGAACAATTTTCGTAATTTGAAGAAAATATGGTATTTTTTTCATTTGCTTAACTATTCCAATAAGCGAACATTTCAAAATAATGTTGAATAACAAACTGGAAATTCGATTTTCAACTGTTAATATATTCCAGAAATTTTCGAAAAAAATATTTTCAATATTTTTCTCGTACTTTCCAAGTGAGCCCCTATTATCCCTTAAAAGGGAGGACGCCAATTTTGAATCGCCCTGTATATTATTTGTAGTTTTCCAATGTTAAAAAATATATTTTTTTAAATGAAATCATTATTGATCATCACTATTTCTACTACGAAAAATTTAAAATGTAACATGTTACTTTAGGAACGTATTATGAAAGTGGAACTGCAACGTTGTAACTTGTTACAGAAAAATAACCGTTTAGCACACCTCTAGTCATTATCTTTGCTAGTTTGTTGCAACACATTTCTCAGAACTGGCTATTTCTAAGAATGTATCAAATCGGGGCTCACTGGTTATAAATAATTGATGGTAACACACGTCTTTGCAAGGCAAAGTAGATCCGAATATTTTCTACCAATTTGTATTCATTATATCTGCATGAACACCTGTTTTGGGTGTTTTCAAGTTCAGCTGTAACATACCTTATTCCTTCCAAGAGCTGTTCTAAAACGACATTTTTAGCGCTTGAGACGGGGCGATTGCAAATCGAACACTCTTTTAAATCCATTTCATCGAAACAACTCTTACACACTACATGCCCAGCTTCACACTGGCACACGGGTGGTCGAACTACTTCAAGACATATACGACATTCCGCAATTTTCGATAAGATATTTTTTTTTAAAGATGCATTCTGTAATTAATGGAAAAATTGCAATATTAGTATGAATCTGAATTCTTTCGCATTTTATGATTGCCCAAAATACAACAAAAAGATTCGACTTATCACACAAATTTCATGCATAAGTGGCTTTATGTTGGAATGTGTAACCAAAGATTATGCCTTGGTAACTCATAATGTGAATTTTTAGGAGTTGACGCACTGCTGCGCAGATGGCTTGGTGCGCCAACCCAACGCACCGGCGCAGTAATTCAGTTTCGTTGCTGGGAAAATCTTGATGACCTTTTTTTGTTGCTTTTGGATTTATTTTAAGAGCCATTTATTAATAGCATTTTGAAAGTTTTTTCAAAATTTCAGAATTTTTCAGTTTCAGTTTTAGTTTCAGTTTCACTTTAAAATACTGATAATTTTAAGGTGTTTGCTGCGAAAAAATACGAAATTAAAACAACTCGCCGCTTTGGAAAACACTTTCAAAATCCCTTTCCAGCTTCGAACTTGGGACAAAAATCAAATCATTTTCTATTAAAAAAACGAACAGAATAACCGAAAGTTTATAAAAAATTATTTGAGAAACGCGTCACCTCCATTCCTCTGAAGACTGTAGTTTGTTAACAAATGTGGTTTTTCAGTTTTAACTGAATTTTTTGCGCTTTAATTTCTACTGAATTTCAAGTTCTCTATTTTGTACAGTGTAAGATAAATTTATAGCTTTATAGGAATTTTACAACAACTTTAAGCATCGAATTCAGGACAAAAACAGAAATAGATTTCTCCCGTTTTTTCCCCCGAGTCATTAAGGTTTTCTCAAAAACCGATCACAAAACTAAAGGTTTCAATCAAAAGTGCAAAAAAACATTTTCTGATGATTTTCTTCTTTTTTGAGGATAAGGAGTTCTTTCAGCCAAAAATTATAAAATTAATTTTGTTTGAAAATTCGCCTCACTCATCGCTTAGCAGGGAACTTTAGAAAACCCTTTTCAGCTTCAAATTTGGCACAAAAACCAAATAATTGTATTCAGTTTTTTACAGAAAGTAATTAAGATTATCCAGTAATTAGATATAAGAAAATACGAGCAGAGCAAAAGTTTGTAAAAAAATATTTACCTTCCTTCCTAAAACTTCGCCGCCTTGATCGCCCTAAAGATTGTTAAAGTTGCTTTAATTCAGGTCCTTCCAGTTTTAGTAGATTTCATTAAACAATTATTTCTACGCAAAAGACGCATAATTTTTAATTTTACTTAAAAATACTTCAGGGCTTAAAGTCTTCAGGTATTTTCTGTGAAAAATTATAAGATACATTTTTTTGGAACACTCTCCTCCTTAACTGCTTTGCAAAAATTGTTGTTGGAAAACCTCTTGCAGCTTCGAATTTTGGACAAAACCCTAATATTTTTTTCTGCGTTTTTTCTAAAAATATTTTCCCGAACAGGAAAAGCGAAAGTCTATAGTCATTTATTTGGGTCTTAAAACCTGGGGTTTGTTCACTTTTAGGTCAACATTTCTAAACAGAAAAACCGCATTTTTTCCAAATGTTTTCTCTAAATTAATATATCGATTTTACAAGAAAACTTGTCTACTTTTCTAATAATTCTGGAAAGGATGGTCAACAAAAACAGTAGCTGAGAGATTCGGAAAACCGAACAGCACGATTTAGAAAATTATAAAGAAATTTATTAAATTGTCAAATTAAGTTTGTGACATACGTATATTTGACGTATTTCACAAAGCCTGATTTAACCTGATTTGACGCCGGCGCAAAGAGCGGAACTATCATAGCGTCCTTTGTTTTGTTTTGGAAATTGGTGAATTTCAGAGAGTGAAAAGTGGTGGAAAACGGCATTTTCTCAAAAAATCTATAATAAAAATGTTGTTTGTTATGAGATTTTCTATTAGGTGGGCATAGTCTTAATGGGCAAAGCGGTAGTCTTGGTATCAGATCGTGTCGTAGATAATTACCTTTTGCAGATTCATTTTGCTGTGCAGTTTTGTTGATTAAGTTAAATGATTCATTACGGACAGGAATGTGTTCCTGTTTTTCTTTAACACTACACACTTGTTAATTACAAAATGTCTATACAATATGTTTGTATACACACGCGATTTGTATTATAATATTTTTAAAAATTACCGCAAATCACTAACGCCAAGTTACATTGAATCATGGTGACTGAATACAAAATCGCGTACTGTACTGCAGTACAACCAATGATGACAAGTAAGCAATTGATTAAAATTTGTTTAGCTAATTTTGATAAAGACCTGAGACTCCGTAATTATTGCTGACGGCGTTGCCAACGGTTTTACATTTTTACAACCGGCGTTGCCAACATTCTACTGTGTGTGTTGATCTACAACTTAAAGGTATACTATGTATTGGGTGATTGAAACTTGGGGTCATTCCTTTTAAGGGTTTATAGGGACTCACTTGGAGAGCCCCAGAAAAACATTGATTTATTTTATTTCCGATATCTTATTAACAGTTGAAAATTGAATTTCAAGTTTGTTAATAAGTATTATGTATTTTGAAATGGTCCCACCTTTGAACGGTAGCCTATTGAAATACTTAACTTGATTATACGGACACAAACATATCTGGGGTTTGGAGAACACAAAAATCTTCAACATCAATTGTGTGTTTTTCTATAATTTCTTGAGGTTTTGAGATTAATAATTAAGATAAGATGATTCTCAGTATAGCTCAGCCCAAAGGTCCGCGCACGCTACAGTTATAATGCGATAAGAAACTTAAGTTCCAATGTTCTCAAGCTTATCGCTGGAACCTAACTCATAAATAAACAGTGCCTTGATTTATGGGTACCTTGTGGGAATTCACCGGTTCGGTATGGGGTACTTATGGCAATTGCAAAATCTATTAAAATGTATTCATCTTGCGCGTGATCTCAATTCACTCTATAATATAAACACTACCCCAAATGCATGTATCAATCCAATGTAATTTGAAATAAAGAAATAAATAAAAATAAAATAAAAAAATTGTCAACCGTAAGCGGACAGTAACCGTACTGTGCTGTGAGCTGAGGGCATAGTGACAATGGACCTTTAAGAAGCAACAGTTATTTACGGAATGTTGATGAGGCAGCAACTTGGCAAACATTGTTGCCGACCTTCTGATCTAGTTTTTTCCACATATTTCAGTTTTTAATAACAATATTTTACTTTTTTTCCTGTCCTGCCTGAACACTGCCAGAGGAATGACGCCAATTTTGAACCACCCTGTACTTACATAATGTTTGCTCTTCATTTTTGGATTCCGCATAATTCATTTTGCAAAACATTTTTGCTTGATCATCACAAAATGTCATTCAATCAAAAATAATTTGCAAATCATCAAGTTTGTGACATCAAATAAAGCAGATATCGATGATGGATTCTCCACCTGGAAACCTTGCGGCTTGACGATTTTATGACCATTCTCGATTCTGCACGCCGTGGCGAAGGTGAACGTTGGACTTCATCCGTGTTTGGTAATTCTGTAACAACGCGCTGCACCGGTGAATTGGGAATTTGAACATTTTTCAATTTCTTTAATAAATTTACCTATTTATAAAAATCGCGCATACCAAATATCAGCCCTCAAATCGGAATATTTAAGTTACAATAAACAATTAAAGTTGTGACCGCAGGTTTTTCATTTGAAACGATATTAAACGCGCAGGACTGGTCGTGACGTCATAGCGCTAGTTCGTTCAATCGGAAGGCAATACGGGAATACAGTTTGTCGTTGAATTGTCTGGGTGTTTGACTGTTCAGAATTCGTGCTGTGCTTTACTAATAATGAAAACAATGCAAAAACAATATTACAAATGCTGTATTGTGCCACTGTGTTCTAGTACACCTTTTAAAACGCCAGATATGCTATTTATTGGTGTACCACAAAATAAAAGCCGGCGTTTAAAATGATTAAAGGCATGCAGAAGAGGTCACAAGGATATTTTTGACAAGACTACTGCCCATCTATGTGAAGATCATTTTAATGTCAGTATAAAAACAGAATTGTTTTTGTCTATTGTATAACAGATAGATATTTTGAATTTGTATTTTGTTTGTTTCTGAGCTGCATTTAACTGATAGTAAATAATAATCTCAAAAATAGTTATTTGCTATACTAGACGATAAAAAGAAACAATAAGTATCTGCGAGGGCAAAATCTCGTTCTATCGTCGTGTCTTTACGTTAAATACCTACTATTTTTGTCATGCAATATGAATATTAACAGATATTTTTATGTAACTTTAATATTATTTATTTCTTCTAGCTGGAAGAAGATATTACATTTTGATCAATGGGTGCTGTTTGAATTTTGAAAATTAGACATTAAAATCCCCATCTAACATTTTATGGATTTATACAAGCAAAACTATACACTATTTTGTCTATAAGTCTACCTGTCACCTTTAACACCGGGAACTTCTGCAAGAGTTAAACTTTCGGTGCTTTTAATGTAAGATGCTACCATAAATATATCCACTAGTGGTAAAATGTCAGATTGTTCTTTTACAAAACTTGCGTCATTTTGTTAGATTCTAGTTTTTTTTCTAATGCCCTATAGAAACCTTTTAACGACAATATCAAGACTGATACTGTTACATGTTTACATGCTTCGCATTGCCACCGACACGGCCGACTAGCTACTTGACGTCACACCTGGTCCCAGCCAATGGCGGCGCGTTACAACAATGATTTGAATTATACAGTTTTTAATTGCTTATATTAATTACATAGAAATAAAAAATTAGTTTTTTGGTAAATTGTGGTGTTTTAAGAGTATTAAGTTACGTATGCGAATAAATTTGTTTTCTGCAAGTTCCCAATTACCCAACTTTAAGGTGTGCTCTTACCAGAGACGAGGAAAATTACTATTTGTCTCTGGCTATTGCATTTGATATTGGATTTGCTATTCGAGTGGTAGACTGAGTGTTAGATTGAGAGATAAAATTCTAAATATTGAAATAGTTCGAAGAATTAAAGTAACTGACATCTCGGACATAAGGCTGAGATGGCAAAATATGGGGAAGTGATCATATAAAAGGACATTTTGGAAACCGCGAGAAACGAAAATAAACATAGGAAGGCCCGGGAAGAGATGGATAGATGATATGGATAGCTACTGTATCTGGAAGAAAGTGGATCAGATCAGCCAGAGATACAGATGCATGGAAAATATTGGAAAAGACAGGAATCACTGGATGAACAAAGGTTGAATAATAATAATAAGCAGAAAACACAGTAGACAAGACTTAGTCAGAAGTTAAAGGTATGTAGCGAATCCCTAATAATTCTATTAAAATGTAAAGAAGCTATAACTTTTTTCTAACTCAATAAGTCCCTAAAAACAAACAAGTCTATTACCATGTAATATTCCTGAACTTGTTCCTTAAAAACACATAATTGTTGTAATAAAAATCGCCTATCCCACAAATTCAGTACAATTAGAAACCCAAAGCATATTAAAGCATGATTTTGTGCAATCTATAAAAAAGTCACGATCCATAAAACTTTCGTCAGCGTATAAAAACAGGACAAATAAAATAATTTGGAAAAGCGGTAATGATCAGCCGGCGAAAATGCCAGACGGGGTCGCTAAATTAAATAAAACGGGATAATTTGATAATGAAACACAATACTACGAGCGAAACAATGTTGTTAACGGGAAGGAGAATGCACAAAATGAAGTATTTCATTTGAGATAATGAACGTGTTATCTAATTGCCATAACGAGCAGCAAACCTGCCAGCCATTTCAGAGATATTGTGAAATAGTATAGTTTGATATCTA